TTTGAATCGCCTTCGTCTAGCTTTCGCTGTTCCCCTCACCTCACCGCACCGAGCGCAGAACAATACCATTCAATTGTAATGGGGCATTTGGATTGCACGCGTTGTTTATGTGTAGCTTTGCTGTCCCCCTCATCACATCGCATCACGGAAAAAAACAATGCCATTCGACTGTCATGGGACATTTCGACTGCACGCTGAGCGGTGAGGAGGAAAATGCAACTTTTGGCTGATAACTTATTGCGAAAATTTTTTAGAAAACTGTAATATGCAAATTGTAATCTGTTTTACTTATATGTATGTATGTTCATTTTGAATTTGCACCTTGAATGATCTATTAGTTACTTTCCGTGGTATATACTCAACATAGAAAATATACTTTATGTATGTTGCAGTTATTTTCAAGAACACTGTAAAATTTTTATTGTAATCTGTTTTACTTATATGTAGGTATGTTCATTTTGAATTTGCATCTTGAATAATCTATCATTTACTTTTCGTGATACATTTTAATATAAAGTGTTCTAGGTAGCACAATGTGTACTCTATATTAGAAGTTCTTTGATAAGTATCCAAACCGAGGATCGAAACGTAAGAAAAATTGTGTATTTTCAATAAATCGTATCAACACACACTAACATCCTGTGTACAAGACTCGATTAGGCATTTCTCTTTCTCTTTTAAATGATTATCTAATAATAATATATTAACCACGAAAAGTAACTGATATATTATTAATCCTAACATATCATTAAAATGAAAAGGTCAAGCCATGTTCAAAAATAGATCCTCGCAAATTAAAAAAACCCAACAAATTTAAACCTTTGAAAACTAACCGCAAAAATTTGATCTTTCCTAAATTAAAATGATTACATAACCACAAAATAGAAAACCCAATAAATTTCAACCTTTGAAACCCTGGTAGAAATTTCGATAAGGAGCTAATAAGGCCCTTGCATGGATGCCATGCTGCCATATCAGGAATTAGCATGGCAAACTTGCAAGTACCTCGCCAACAACGTCGCGTTTTGTCTAGTGGCGTTAGCGAGCCACTAACGTGCCGCTATCGACGGATTGGCCTGGGGGCCTGTTCTGTACACGCTTACCGACAACTGTCGGTGTCGTTAATAGCGTCGGTCGATAAACGTCGCTAAATGCGATTCTGTACCATGGTTAACGACAAATATTTATCGTTCATGAGCGATACTCATCGTTCGTGAACGACAACCGTCGTTATTCATAACGAGACCACCCATACGTGACGGTAATGTTTACCGATACATTTTTTGACGATATAAATCCTGCTTCTGAGGTTAAGATTCGCCGATTCGTATAGATGGTTTGGCGATTTGACCACCATTCGTGTGACTCGAAGAAAAAAATTAAGATTCGTATAGATAGCAGTTAATTACCAAATTGTAAAAGAGGAGTAAGTTCGTTTCAAATATTTAATTATTGAATGTACATTAATGTAGGAATATGTCTTTTTGGTCTGAGTTTTATATAGTGGGCCAAATTTAATGTCAAATTTAATGTTGAACCCGCGAAAAAAAAAATATATAGATTTAATATATGTATAATTAAATATAAATTTTATTAAAATTTAATATAATACTTAATAACGATTCCAATTAATAAATGTGGTCTTATTAAAACCTTATATAGATTTAATTTGGACCATATAATGATCCATATTAAGTTATTAATTCAACTTATTAAAACTTGTTAAGACCATATTAAAACATATTCAACTTATGTATTTAAAACTTATTAAGATTTAATTAAATTATATAAATGTGGACTTTAATAAGATTTAATAAGGACTTATTAAACTTAAATAAGTTGATAATATAAACTATATTAAAAATATATACAAATATGCATTTATTTATAAGGTTATATATATATAAAGACTTTATAAATTCTGTAACATGGATATTCTTGTTGTTCATAAAATACTAAACAAGGGTAAAAGGATAAATTATGTGCATCATGCGTGAAACAAAATGCAGTCCTAATCTTATATTTAGCAGTCAAATTTTATCTTAAATTTTACATTCGAAAAAGTATAGTTACGTTTACTTAATCATCTGAAACTGAAAAGACAAATTTCTAAAATATCTTTTTTGTTGTGTCATTTACGTATTGATGTATTACTTATTATATTTTCATATTTTGGACATTTGAACAGCATTGTAGAATATGGCTGACGAGTTTCTTGCTTGGGACCTTATAAATCTAGAGCATAGAGCAGAGCAATTGGAACGCCGCGTACAAAGGAGTCAGTGGCGAAATAACCACGATCCTTTTGATTTAACTGATGATCAGTTTATCAAATTGTATAGAGTGAGCCCAGATATTGTAACAAAATTGGAAGATGTTTTGGGACCAAGATTACAACGTCAGCGTCCATACGGTCTCAGTATACAACATCAGGTACAAATTATTTGCATATTTATAACTCGAAATAGTATGATTTATATACTACGTAAGTAGATTCTTAAATGTGCGCCGAAATTTTTTTCAGACTTATAACGCAAACTTTAATCAACTATACTGCAATACTATTACGAATTAAATTGACTAACAATCTAACAACTTTGATGCTCATACCATCTTGGATCTTAATAATGAATAACATTAAAAATTTATAAATAATTAATTTATATTTCGAAAAATATTATCTTGGCCGAGGTAATATTTTTTACAACATAAATTAATTATTTACAGATTTTTAATGTCATTCAACATTATTAAGATCCAAGATGCTATGAGCAAAATTGTTAGATTGATAGCCAATTTAATTCGTAATAGTACTGTGGTAGTTGATTAGAATTTGCGTTGTAAGTCTAAAAAAAGTTTCGGTGCGCATTTAAGAATCTACATACCTAGTATATAAACTCACACGAAATTATATTAAAAGCATCCAAGATTCACTTAACCGTTATAGCATGTTCTCATTGATATTTAGTTTAAAACTCTCACAGTCCAATAAGATTTGATATGTATACATAATGTTACTTAATTTATACACATACATACATTATATAATTTACAGCTTATGTTGTGATTTATAAATTATATTATTTTTCAGATTTTGACTGCTTTGAGATTTTATGCAGTTGGGTGTTATCAGGGTTCAATAGCGGAGCAGTGGGATATCGCAACGAGCCAACCATCTGTTAGCCGTTGTGTCAGAAGAGTGAGTGATGCGATAAATGATCTTCTTCTCAGACAATGGGTTAGATTTCCCATGACAAACGAAGAACGTTTTATCGCAAAAGAAAAATTTAGAACCGCACCTCAGCCTTTTATCGGAGCTATTGGAGCAATAGACTGCACCCACATAAACATCATAGCACCGCATGAACATGAAGAAGCTTATGTAAACCATTGGGGTAATCATTCAATCAATGTACAAGCGGTGTGTATTATGTTATATTATACTATTTCTCTGACTGTTAGATCGGGATTTCTCTATTTTTATTTAACTTTTTTTTTCTTATACTTTTAGATTTCTGATCCTGATTTAAAAATTCTCAACGTGAATGCAAGATATCCAGGTGCACGTCATGATGCATACATTTGGTCCAATTCACCAGTACGTCGCATTATGGAACGACGTTTTGAAAATGGAGAACGTAATACTTGGTTAATCGGTAATTTGTTAACAAAATTATATTATAAAGCAATCAAAATATTACACAAAATTATGTTATAAAGCAATCAAAATCCAGTTCGACCGTTATTGGCAATGTTTCTTCGATATTTAATAATAAATAATGTTTGTAGGTGATGACGGCTATGGTTTAGAACCTTGGCTGATGACACCTTTAAAAAATCAACCACCAGGATCGCCTAGGTATCGGTATAACGACGATTTGTGCAGAGCTAGATCGTGCGTTGAGAGACTTTTTGGTGTCTGGAAATCTGTCTTTAGATGTCTGTCTGCTCAGAGACAATTGATGTATGAGCCTAGCATGGCAGGAAAAATAATCAACGCATGTGCTGTTCTCCATAATATGAGAATTACACATAGAATATACGATATACAGCTTGAAGATGATTTCGTTAATGATCTGAACAGACAAAATATTTTTGATGCTGAAGATCGACAATACATATATCAAGGACGTGCAACCGCAATTCGCATACAAGAAAGATTTATTGCTCGTCAGTATGGAATTTTAAACTGAAGTTTAAAAGCTGTGAGAAGGATACGAGATCGTCAATTTTTTTAGTAAGTTTATATATTTTTTAGTAAGTTTAATATAATAAACTTTTTTGTAGTACAAAATTTATAATAGTCGAACAGTTTAAGCAATATAATATATTATATAATTTGTTGCAAGATTTTTAAAACGAAGAACGAAACAAAATTCAGGAATTAAGGACAATCAGTCAAAAAATGTTAATGGTGTTCAGAAGCAAGCGGGTATTTCTGCTACCATCTATTGTCGAATCCAAAGGAAAGACGTCGATAGATTTAGTGTTTCCTACGTTCTGGTTATTGTCGTCTGAAGTGTCTCTAATCTTGTCTCGAGCAGATGTGGAGTGCATTGACAAGAAGAAAGCATTATTAGACAATAAACTTGAGTACAAAAAAAACGATGACGCCATCAGCGTTTATCCGAGCGAGGCATTAATTACAGATTATATCAAGAGGCAATAATGGATAGGGAAAATACCAAAGTCGCGTTTAATCAAATGACGATATATAAAAATTTACTTAAGTCCTTAAATTTAATTAAGCTCTTCTTCCATATATGGAATATATATATGGAGTATATATACATTGTTTCATTAATTACGTTTGTAGGATAATATATGTAAACATTTAATCACTGTTAAGTGTAACACAAGTATTAAAAATATATAACATATTAATTGATCAATTAATGTTGACACTTATTTTTTCTGTATATTTGCAATTAAATTTACGAGATCACCACTACATCAATACCAGTTGTACTACAACTGGTATTGATGTAGGAGAAATCACCTTATTTATTTAATAGCTTAGCATATAAGTTTTGCATGTTTTCAATGATTTTCATATTCCGTTCATCTTGAAAAATTCTTCGTTCTTCGAGTTTTACTCGTTCCTCTAAAGCACGTTCCTCTAAAGCAATACGCTTTTCATCGTTTTGTGCAGTTAATAATGCAGCTTCAGCCTGCTTCATCGAAGCATCTGCAAATAACTATTTAAAATAATTATCATTATCATTATCTAACATTATCACCATTATTACCATTGTACTTGTTGTCCATAGTCTTCTACAAAGGACAAAAATTAACAATTATATATATATGTATATAATAATAAGTTACTATTCATTAATAAATAGAAAATATTACTTGTAAAGCTGTTGCGTGGTTTTTAGCTATCTCTGTAAATTTTTCACGCGCTTCATGAAGCTGTGCACTGATCCGTTGTCTGTTTTTTCCTATATCGTACAAAATAATAAATGATAATAATGATAACACAGATAATTACTTTAGATGTATAGAAATTGTGCGCGCGCGCATGTGTATGTGTGTGTGTGTGTGTTTTTAAGTTTTTATTTTACTTATTTACTTACGACCATAATTTGTTTGTGGAACTATTTCTTTATTTCGTGATGCTTTTAAACTATGAGTTTTATTTTTTCCTTTAGATTTACTTGTGTTAGCCTGAACATTATCTTCAAATGTATGTCTGACATCATCAAACGTTACATTTTCGATATTATCGTTTGTTTCTTGATAATTATCCAGTGTTATTATATCTTCAAATGTCATATTTTCTTCATGTACTTGATTATCTGAATATATATTATAATCAATATAAATTATAAGAAGTTAAAAAAATATTAATATTTCATGTTCTTAAACTGACTATGCACAATCGAGAAAAAGAACAAACATTCGGACATTCGCGTTCGTGTTCGTAGATCGCTCGTTCTTTTTATAAATTGCATCAAAGAAAAATAATGGTCTTGGTTTCCAATAGTAATATTTTATTTGTTAGATCATGAATGAAATGTGTCAATTCTATGTGCAATTCTTTTATGAAGAACATGCGTGACTATGAACTATTTTACCTGCTATATCAGATTCATACATCAATTACCTCTGAGTGGATATACTTAAAAATATTCAGATTTTGAAATAAATAATCTTTTAACATATTTTAAACTTACCATCATTGTTTGTATCATCGTTTCTCGGTAAAACGTCAGCAATAGAGGATACTTGCGGTGGATAATAAAGAACTTCTTCGTTCCCTTTTTCCAATTCAAGTTGATAATTCTGAAAATATTCAGGGAAATAAAGTTGAGTTCTTCATAAAAGAAAATCATGTTAGAAACTACGAAAAAAACAGGGGTTCGATTATGTATCTTGAAGCGAGGTAAAAATTACAAAAATGAGCAAATGTACTACATATTGGCTAATAAAATTAGAAATATTCAAGAAAATATGCTCACTTTTGTAAGTATCACTTTATTCCAAGGTACATAATCAACTCACTGATGTTACACACACACACCTCTTCCTCTGGTGTACTATCAGGACAAGTTTGAGAACCTTGCACGTAGTCTAAACCTATACACGCGATGATACGTTGTTCTAAATCGTCTAACATTTGTGATTGCATTGGGAAATTTCCCGTCCGATTTCTTTCATAACGTATTTTTGCTGCTTTTTTTGATGCATTGCTCTTCAAATCTCTCCATACCTAAATAAAAATAATGTATAAAAAAATGAATTGAAAACTATAAAATTTAAAAAAATTAACGACTCCTTTATTCAGAAACTAAATAAACAAATAATGTGTACAAGGCTATAGGAGTCAACCGCTGGTTATTATGTTGCGCATTTAATGGATTAATAATATATCGATGAATACGAATAATAATAATATAATATAATAATAATAATAATATAATAATATAAT